TGTATCCTTTGGCTAGAATGTGTAGCTATCTGCCCAGTCCTCAGGGATTCCCTCTTCAGGCCTGCTGCCTGGGACATGCCAACACAAGCTCCCGAAATCAAGTGTTTGAACAGAGGTTGTCCATGGTGTGTTCATTTTATTTATGATGAGTATTACATGGCCAATCTCCTTTCGGCACTAAAATCTTCCTGGGAGAGTTTCTCCGGGGGAGTTCTGTCAGCATCTGTGCGGGGTAAGGAAATGGAGTGTCCCCTGCACCTAGTGCTTTTTTTTAAAAAAAAAAATGAGATTTATGTCATCTGGTTGTCAAAGTAGGATGTCCCAGAAATGACACCAACTATTTGGGGTGGCTCTGTGGTTTTCTGGCCATTGTTATAAAGAGCAAGCACATTGGGTCAAATACCATATTTAGATGAGAAACTGTCTCAGATGGAGACATGCTGTAGGGAAGGGAGAATTTGAGCCACCCCTGTTCATTCATCGCTCTCATCCTCAGTGTTCGAGTCCAGGGGTGATCTCCAGGAAGTAGAAGCAGCTATCAGACTGGAATGTGGGAGGGCATCTCATGGTGACATTTTAGTGGTATTCGAATGCTGATGTCCTTCCTCTGACTCCAGTGTCCCTTGTGAAGGAGAGGATGCGGCAGCATTCATTACTACCTGGTGCTTGCTAATGGTGTGACCTTGAGTGAGTCAGCCTGTCGTCTGTCTGTGCCTCAATTTGTCTGTATGAGAGCATTAATGGCTGCTTATAAGGTATGTATGTACACACACTGAATGTGTGCTCAGTATTTTTGTAGTGCCTGGTTTTCCAGGGAAAGTTGGAAAACCATTGGATCTTGTAATGATGCTCGCTGTATGAATGTAGTTACCATGTGGATGTCCTTCCACCCTCTGGAGCACAGGTTCCTTGAAGTCGGAAGCCTCGTCTCTAGTACCCTTAGGTGTACACAGTACAGATGATGTTGGATGAAAGGCAGTTTGACATGCTTTCTTTGTCGAACCCTCTTTGAGGCCTCTCAGAAGCTGGAGAGAATGGAGGACGTTCCCAGAGCCTTGTACTCCCTGATGCTGCTGGTTTGTCTGTGGGGTCTTGCTGTCCTCTCAGGATGCTGCCTTGGAGAGGGAGTTACCCCCTTTTAGGTCAGCCTTCATTGGTGGGCTGGATGGACCCCGCCACACAGAGAAGTCATGGTTCCTACTGTGTCAGACCCAACTCAGGACTTCTCTGGGAGACACATTTTGGGATTCAGACTTGGTATCCATACATTTCTGGGTGAGTGACCAGTTCCTGGCCAAAGCCTGGACCCACGATGCATTTATATAAGCCTCTTTCCACCTGTAGGCAGGATAGAGCTCTGCAAGCCAGTCCATGAAAGGCTGTTTTGCAGTTGGACCTGGGGGCTCATTGGAGGTAACACCAGCCTCACTAGAGGGTGGGAGTCAGGGAGCCAGAGCCGAGGGAGGCAGTGGCGCCTGGGGAAGAGGTGCCCTGCACTGCTCTCGGCCTGCGCTGACGTTTGATTCTGGAGCAGAGGTTGCCCTTGGTGAATTCGCTTTATTGATGTTGAATCACACAAAGGCAACTTTTGTTTGAGTATCAAAGCCTGCTTGGGGTGGCTTTGGGGAGGGTCTCTGTGTATGCCATGTGCTAGAATGGGTGACGGAGATAAGGGGTGAATAGTCAAGGGTGTGGCTCAGAAAACACAGATGGTGTAACCAGATGCAGGATCCCTGGAACCCATGAAGAGATGCCAGTGTCTGCTTGGCAGCTTTTCTCAACCCAAATCCTCTTTGTCACACCAGCACTTAGGCCCCCTGGTTCCAAACACATTGGCTACTCTAATCTGAAGACACCTTGACCAAATGAGCTCTCCCTTGACTGTGTCAAGGACAATGGCAGCCTGCCTTCTCTGTCTTCCTCCCCTCTCCAGCTCACTAGGTCAGGAGCTCTTACATTCCATCCATTTTCTCCCCCCAACACCCGCCCTTCTCCCTGTGTGCTTCTCTTTCTCCCCTATTTCTCACCAAACCTTGTTCTCCATTTTTGGATGGGTTAGGAAATGAGTAGAGGAGACCAGCATTTCATCCCATTTACATTAAATAATAGTGATAAAATAATCACAAAATAACACTACAAACTACCGGAACGGCTCGGAGGAAAATGTGTTCAATTGACTACAAATTGGCAGAAGAATCCAATTTTCTTGACAACGTTTCAGCTACGACTTTTGACCTGGGGAAACAGTACTCTGTAGACATGGCAGCCGCAAGAGGAGGCTTGCGATAGTGGCGGCTGCTGTGAGCAGTAATATTTGTGGTAGACGAACACACATTGAGGAATCAAATCTTCGTTCAGATTTTTAAATGGGAAAGAATTGATCCTAATGAAAATGATTTGAGGAAATAACAAGGGAAATAAAAGAAATGAAAATGGCTCAACAGCACAGTCAAGGAAGCTAAACAGGGAATTGGATTAGTTTAATGGAATTTACTCAAAAAAAAAAAAAAACAACAAAAAAGAAAGCTTTTTTTTTTTATGAAAATCAATGCGGGTGCAGATTTTGGCCAGGTGGAGACATCCATGTGCTTAGACTGAAGCCAGTGGGGCAATAGGAAGACCTGGTCTCCTGCAGGTCCTCTGTGTGGCTAAACTTTATTTTCTGTCCCAAACCTTTCCAGAGCTCCTCCTAGACCGATGTGCTGCTGACTGCAGCAGTAACAAGCTGGCGAGGGTCCTCTGGAGGATGTGAATGGGTGCCAGTGCAGAGCATGTACCCCGTGAGCAATCTTCTTCAGCTTCCTCTAGCCTCAAGACACATTCTGGGTGAGACACTGGCTCCAGGGTGGGGTGGATGCTTCCTGGACAGTGGGTTCTGCCCTTCCTGAGCAGTTGGCACCTGGAACGTTCTAGGGACTGCCCTTCCTTTGGGTTCCCATGTTACCAGCTCTCAGTGTTAGCTTTTAAGACATGCCCATGGTTGGCGCTGAAAGTCTCTTTGTCCTGGAGCCTAGCCCCATCTGGGAGATCGTCACAGAGCTGATGTATCTAGGATCTAATGTACTGCCTGTGGTGTGAAAGGGCTCATTGTTTTCTGGCTCGCTTTAGAGGTGACTAGGGTTTCATGGTGGTTCTTTCCAGAAGGATCTTTACTTCGAAGGACCTCAGAGGCAACACCATTATCTTGGAGCTGGTCAGTGGCTGGAGCCCTCTCCAGGACAGGTGCTTGGAGGAAGACCCTGGAAGTTCTAAACATGCTTGCTGGCTGGAGCTTGTATTTACCACTAGCCATGGCCGTTGCCACTGTGTGGTTCTTAGGAACACTCCCAAGAGGTGATGCCAGGTCGGGAAAGAGCCTCTGATCCACAGGTCAGTTTCCAGAACACCTAGCTGAAACTGCCCGTGACGTCTTTTCCCCTTATGATAGACTGCGTGCGAGTGGCCTCTTTCTGCGCTGCAGCAAGGCTAGAAGCCTGTGAGAACTCTTGCCAATGTCAGAGAAAGGATTCTGCTGTCGGTCCCACTCCACGGTTTACAAAACGGGTGGTGCGCACAGAATCCAGCCTCTGCTGTGGCCCATGTCATCAGGTCCTGACCCTCACTGGCTAGCCTTCTCCTGTGACACGCTTGTCTGGGTTCTGCAGATGAACTGTTCTACTGTGTGAAGGGAGACTGTCTAGGGTCTGGTTCAATTGTTCTTCCTCTCCTCCATCCATGTTTGTCTTTGACATTTTAACTGCTTTGTTTATGGGCTGAATGGTCAAGCAGTTCTTGCTGTTACCTCTTAAACCACCTGTGAGGGATGACAGGGTGGGGGTGCCAGGTTGGGGGGTATGCGGTGGTTGGGCCCAAAGAAGAGCATCTCTGGATGTTGGCATCATTGCCACTTTGCTCCTTCTGGAAGGCATCCTCGCTGAGAGGGTGGAGGGTGTGCATGCAGGATCTTAGGGCTTCCCTGACTCCAGGGCTGGCAAAGGAGTGTTGAGAGTGAGCAGAGTTCTGTGTTCACTTCCTGCACTGTGCCCACTTCTCTTGCTCAGTGCCAGCCCCTATCTACCTGGGTCTCCAGGTCAATCTCAGGGAAGGCTCTAGATAATCATTCTGGGGAGATGAAAGGATGGTAGATGCGCCGGGGAGGTGATGGGATAATTGCTCTCAGGTAGTGGAGGGTGGCTCCTTGCTGAATGGGGAGACGGGGTACAAACTCCAGGGATGGGTCTTCTGGAAACACAGCCACCTTGAAGCATCGGCCTTGGTCTGAGCATCCGAGCCTCTCCATGGTACTCGGAGAGAGGTTACCCGAGCAACTTTGCATCTGGAGGACGAATGTTGCTCGGTGAACCCCTTTTCGGTATCAAATCCCTCCAGGGAGGCCGAGTGGAGGCCCCGGCACCTCTGGGAAGAACGTGGAATCATCTCTGCTCTGGGGTATAGGACGGATGGTCGACCAGCTGGAAAGTAATTGTTTCTAATGTACTTCACCTGGTCCACTAGCCGTCGGTGCCCGCTGCAGCCTGCGTCTAGGATGCCACTACCTCGGCTCAGCACCTCTGCTGGTACTTGAAGGGAGATCGACCGTGTTATATTCGCTTAGCTGACTTCGAATAATACATGGTTGATCTTTTCTCGGTATCAACACTCAGCTTGGAGAAGCACTTGGAGTTGCAGCCCCACTACCCCCCGAGGGGGTGGGAAATGGGATGGTGCTTCTAGATTGCTACCTCAGTGGGGACTGGGCTGGGTGGGACAGGCTGTGTGCTGTCTGTGTCCAACTCCTCTCACCATTCATATCTACCCTACCCCCCTCCCCAGGACAGCTTCAGGAGGTGATGCAAGCTCCATGGATGCAGCAGCCAGCATTGGGTACTTGAGGAGAGGTTGTCTGTGATGAGTTCGCTTTATTAATGACGAATATAACACAGATGGCCTGTTTTCAATACCACCTGTCACTCCTGCTACACAGCAGTACATACCAGGTGCCACAGCACTGCTCGGTAGGTGAATGCATGGACTCTGTATGACACTTGCCACCCTCTTCACTGAGCCTCAGCTTCACATCCATCCTGAGGAGCTTCCTGGGATCACACCAACCTTGCAGGCTGGGATCACACCAACCTTGCAGGCTGGCCACGAAGCATTGGCCTGGTGTGCGATGGATGAGCGGAATCTGTCCACTTGCCATGCCTCTTGCTACAAGAGTGGGTGTCTGTCCCTATCTAAGGCATTCCACTGAGGGCTGCATGCCTGCATGCCCTGCACCTGGGGTGCCTCCCAATACCAAAAGTGCTTGAAGGGATGGCATAATACTTGCGAAAGAACCAGGCCAGCCAGTTGTACATATAGCCCATGATGGGTTTCCATTCCTCATGATGGTATAATACATGGTCATCTCTCTCTAGTATTGGATCTCACCTTTGTGAGCCTGGGTGTCAGGGGAGGGACATGCTTTGCTGGCCCACTGGACACAGCTTGATGGTCAGGCATGTATCTGACTCATCCTGATCCAGAGCAACACATCTCCCTCAGTGGGGGTTAGGAAGCCCATCTTAGAGGAAGAAGCACCCTATGTAGAGTCCATGCTGCTTCGTAGTACCTGAAATAGGTTGTCTCTGAGATGCTTACTTTTTGGATGCTGACATCCTACCCTGGACCACTTCTGCTTTGAGATGCTGATGCCAGCAGCAGAAGCCTCTGTGTTGATTGACACCATAGTCTGTGTGTGAGCCTGCGCCCTGGCCTCTTACCTTCCCAGTTCTCCTCTGTTGGAAACAGCATAGAATGTCCCCTTGAGAGTATGAGGCAGTGATACCCCAGCTGTGTCCCTACCTCAAGCAGACGCGAGTCCCAGACAGGGTTTGGCCTGTACATAACGCATGCTTTCTCCATCTTTGCACTCTGGCTTGCCATAGAGGCTTGACCTGGAGATCAGAAAGCAGCTGATCATGCCCAGTAGGAGCCTTGGAGACGTAGGCTAGAGACATTTGGTATTTAGTAAGGATCTCCAGAGTGGCAAAGAGTTCTTTCTGAGTAGGCTTGCATTGCCGTTCCCCCTTCCCCCTCCAATGCAAGTAGCACCCTCACCTTGGCAGCTCTACCCTGTGGGCTTCTTCACCTCTTCTGGGTCTCCTCATCACCAAAATCCTCTGTGCCCACAGAGACAGTGTCTCCCTCCCCTCTCCATCGTCACTCCCCCACAGACCTGCCCAAAGGGTATGTGGTCTCTCTTCAGTCTCTTCCTCTTGTTCAGGAAGACCTGCCCATGCCCCTCCCTCTGGGAGCTGGTCCTGGTTGCCTTTTCCCTACCTAGTCCATCCCTCTTCCTCAGCCTTCATGCTCGCACATTCCTTTCACTGGAATTCAGGATTCCAAGGGGGATGGAATGGTCCCTGCTCAGCAGTGCCATGGAAGGCTGGCTGGCAACAGCTATCCAGCGCCTTCCTTTTCCACACACTAGCACTGTCTATCAGTCTACTTGTTAGCTGTTCCTCCCAAGCTACCTGCTGTCCCAAACTGCCTAGTACAGTCTTCATGTTCCCAGGCTTTCCAACCCCCCCCCCAAAAAAAAAAACCAATTTCCCAGGGTAGGGACAGACCTTTACATTTTCCTTTCTTTTTCCTTCCTCCCTCTCTTCCTCCTTCCCTCTCTCCCCTCCCTCCTTTCCCTTCCTCTTTTCTTACTTCCTTGGCTTATCCTCTGCTGTATTCTAAGCCTTAGGATCCAGGCCAGGTCTATAGTGACAGAATAATGAAGCGTGCTGATTGACTAATAGAGTCCCCAAAGGCAGAAACCATATTAAGTTAATCCCCTGGAAAGTGGTGAGCATGGAGCAGGAATTCCATAAGATGTGGTGGCTGATTCCATAAATATGGAAGCTGGGTTTTGCATAGTCTTTGTATTTATTAGAGGCTGTTTGATTTTCCAGTCCCTCGCCCCCACCCCACTCCAGAACCTCACTCTTCTGAGAGTTGTTGCAACGGGGGACAGGTTAGCTAGGTCTACAGGCTTTTCTCCACTCCTGTAGCTGGGGCCCCATGCTAGTCCTCAGATTCAGCGGAGCACAACCCCCACCCTCCACTCCATGAACACTTCTGTGGCGGTGAGCCAGAGGCCCCGTAGGGCCCCTGTGCAGCAGCCCTGATCCTCTGTCAGGGCTGATATTTGATGCATGGACCTGAGTAAATGGGAACATTTGGAGATGGAAATTGCTGTTAATGGCACATCTTTGGAATATATTAAGCGTGTGCAAGGCTGCTGCTGGTCTCCCAGTTTAATTGTTCCAATGTAAGCGCAGCCACACCACAGCAGCAGCAGGAAGGCCACCCCAAGTCCCTTCACCACTCGATGGGGAAAGCCCCAGGTACCTCACCCACCAAGGGAGTATTATGCTTGAGACAGAATGTCAGCTGGGATGCCAAGCAATCAGCAGCATGCATATTCCAGACTCAACGGAGACCTGGAGAGGATTGACCCCTCCCGCTTGAGGCAGACTTTTATTAAAGGCAAAATCACTAGATTTCTCTATTGTTTGAGGAGAAGAAAAGACAAACAAAGGATTTTTCTCATCCAATGAGTCAAGTGAAAATGTCTGTCCCCCAGGACAGCAGGCAGGCAAGAAGAAAGTCCCTGGGGGCACTTCAGGGGTCAGAGAATTCACCATCTCTGAGATAGTGCATAAACCCTGTGTGGCAAGGTCACAGAGCACAGGCCGTTTCTCTGTGCCTGGCAGATGTTAAAGCCAATTTGCCCATCCCATAGTTTCTTCTGGGTGTGACTGGACTGAAGCAGTGGTGCATTCCTTTACTGTTTTTAAGAGGGGGGAGGTGTGTGTGTAGGGAGTAAGTACTAGCTGTCTCCAGTGAGTATTTGTGACCAGGCAGGGGAGTAGGTTATGTTTTACAGAAGAGGAATTTACTAGGACTCAGAGAGTTTGAGGACTTTCCAAGATAACCCATCTGGAGACAGGGCTTCAGGCTATGTGTTCTTAACATTTCTGCTTGTGCTGGCCCAGGTACCTCTAGAAATGACCCCATGAGCCATAGATGACAAACAGCTCATTGAATAGGTCTCCACATCTTTCTGCACAGTGAGGCAGGCTCACTTTTCCCAAGACATTGCTTGCCAGGATTGTCAAGCTTTTCTTTTTTCCCTGTTAACTTACTTGGTTCCTCTCCCATTAACTAAGATGCTTTCATTCATGTCTGCCTTATAATAGGGCTGCCTACTCCATCAGAAAACCCAGGGCACTGTGGATGTTAAATATCAGGCCCAAATTGGCTGTTTTGTTTGCTTCCACTGAAGGCCTGCATTAGCTGTCTCTGTCATTGTGTGTGTGTGTGTGTGTGTGTGTGTGTGTGTGTGTGTGTGTGTGTGCGCACGTGCATGTGTGCATGTGTGTCTGTATGTATGTGTGAATGAGCCTGCTGCCTCCCATCAGAGGCTGAAGAGCTGAATACCTCCTGGCTTGTGTGCTGGGTAGACTAGGCCAGTTCTGAAGACGTCATTCCTCATAGGAGTCTGGCCAGTTTCTCTTATCACATCTTTGAGCAGCTAAGGACTCAGGACTGTAGGATCCTGTCCCCCTGGGGTGGGGACGTGGAGTCAGACCCACATCTAGTGAGTTAGTGGTGTTTCTTTGTCAAGATTTGAAAGGCTGTGAGAACCTGTGGACCCCTAGGGCTGGCTCAGAGTAGATGCTCAGAAAATACCTGTCTTCCTTGGATCAAATGGGTTTAGATGCTAGCACAGGAGATGATGAATAGACGGCTGTGAGGGGCACTCAGAGGATGTTTGTGGAATGAATAAATAAACACACACTTTTTTTTTTTTTGAAGAAATTAAGAAACAAGGAAAGGGAGAAACATCCAGGGCAGACAACATAAATCTCCAGCAATATTACCAACGCTCGCTACAGCTGGGGCCACTGAAAAGACCCTGTGGAGGTGGTGGGGCCATTTGTCATGGGCGAGGACAGGCTTGAGGGCTGGGACATGGGGCCTGATGGAGGCTCGTCCATCATTTTCTCATTATCCCCGCGACGTGGAGGGCAGCTAGCGCATCGCAGAACAGCAGCCTCCAAAGGAAGGTGGCAGGGTTGGGAGTGCGAGGGACCCCGAGGGAGGGCAGGCTGCCCCAGGCCCTGCCCCCTCCAGGAAGCCTTCTCGCTCCAACCCAACACACGATCTCACTTGCTCTCGGACGCTCATCTTGCGATCTTTTATCGACGCTACTGGGAAGGGGCCGTTGGGAACTTGTCCGCATGTGTGCCTGTGCTTGCCCAGTTTGCGTCCAGAGAAGGCGCTGTGAATGCTTGTTGGCTTGTCTTTCCATTGTAGACAGGTGAATTGGATTGGTCCTCCAAAGTAGACGTTCAGGAACTCCACCTACTTTCCATCCACACTGCTAGTCCTAGGTTGGAACAGTCCCATTGGGTATGACCATGGAACAGCTATGGCTATGAACAAGCCCTGAGGCCTGACCTGAAGCCGTCAGTGGGCCTGGTAAGTGTCTGCCCTCAGGACTGGTTCATTTAGGGGTTGGAGCAAGGATGGGGTTTTCCCAGGGCACAAGGGGTCCAGAAGTTGTGTAGAAGATACACAGAATGAGGTTGGAGGCACACATCCCAGCCCTGCTCTCCCCCCACCCCCACCCCACCCCAATCCTGCCATCTGCGACAGCTTCGTTTTCTCTAACACTCAAAAATACATGGTTCTGCTACGTTCTCCTTGGCAGGCAGGGTAGCCAGAGCTGCGGGGCTGCCAAGGCCTGGGGGAGCCGCCAGCCTGCAAAGTTTACTGTACAAACAGTTGGGGGGGGGGCGTCTCCGTTAACTCGAAATCCCCATCAGTAAACATGCCAGTTTAAAGTGTAATTAACTCAGGCCGGAAAAGAATTCTGATTTGGACTGCTTTTCACAGTTGAGATTGTTTTTCTTTTATTTATTTATCTCTTTCCGGGTGTGGTGGTGTCTGTGGTGGGTTTTAGCCAGGAAAAATAGAAAGGGGGAGGGCTTGGTGGGATGAGCCAGTTGGGAGAGAGAATGCCAGAAGGAAAGGACAAGGGTACATGGGTTTGCCACCTGTACAAGCCGGGGATCTCCATCTATTTTCTGTCCTGGGTGGTGGCTCCCTGCAGATAGAGAGACTAAGCTGGAAGGCATACCAGGGCCGCTTAGTGAAGAAGGAACACAGGTCTCTGTGCCAGCTGGTCAGGTGGCTCAGCGGTTATGGGATGCTAGCATAACCCAGAGTAACTTGGAACTCCCTCTGATGCCTTCTTTGCTTCCATCTTCCAGGAGCGGCTCTGCCCATCTTTGTTACCTCTCCCTCCCTGGATCTCCTGCTTAAGACAATGAAGCCTTCTGACTGGAGAAGACGCCCCTCTGAGAGGACCAGGACCATTCCGGACCCAGTGAGATCCAGTACCCCAGCCACACCCTGTGCCATCTGCCACTGAGCCCGCCCCCCCCAATACCCTCTGCTTCTTACCATTGCCCCGCCCCCCACCCCAGCCTTGCATTTCAGATCTCAGCGGGACCTGAGCAGCCCTTGCTTAGGAACCTGAGGTGGGGGTTGGGTAGGCAGACCCAGGGGACTGAGCATGGGTATAAGAAAAGATTTCTGCTCTTGGTTTTCAAAGTCTCAATGTGTGGAGCCCTTTGAATAATAAACATATATCATAAAATGTAAATATGCCTACGTGTCTGTGTTCAGAGGGACTTTTGTTAAGTGGGGGTGGGGGTTAAAAGCATGGTCTGGACTCCTTCAGGGGGGACCTCCTGGGATGTCTCTGGCCTCTGTCCTGGAAGCACTTTGCTGAAAGCAACATCCCAAAGCAGGAGTTCACAACTGTATTCCTGACCTTGGGTACCAGCCCCATAGTCAGACTAAGGAATCAGGGACATGAAAAGATACCCTTTCCTATCATCCTGGTGTCTCACATGAGCCCCCCTTCCAGCTCCTTCTGCACAAACTGAACCCCCCTCAGGAACAGAGGCCAGATCCTGGGATACAGCCTGTGCCCACGCGCCTCTCATTGCTGGGCCTCAGCTTGGTCACGACTCAGCCGGGCTGACTCAGACAGAGCCCGGAGCAGGAGACTCATAAATTACATAATTACCCATGAAACCTGCCGCCACCGCTCTCTCCAGCCGGGAGGGACACGCTCCACTCAGGCTCTGGCCGGTGGTGACTCACTGTTTTCCCCAGAGCCTCTGCCCGCCCACCCACACAGCCACCTCATCTGGGCTGCTGGGCAGGAGGAGGGGGGCCCCCCAGCCTCAGCCCCATTTCCCCCTCTTCCTGCTGTCGAGACAAAGGCAGGCAGCCCCCGTCTTGCTGAGGGCTTTGGTGGGGGCACTTGCCCCACCAGCGTCCCTCTACAGCCCCCTGGTGGCACTTCTCATAGAAGGCTGCATGTGACACAGGAGGAAACTGAGGCTTAGGAAGGCAGGCCTGTCTCCTGTCCCTCCTGTAAGGTGGTTTTGCTTACAGCTGGTCAGACCAGCAGAGAGAACTATGAAGCCTCCAGCTACCCATATCTGCTTTAAGACTTTTATCCCCTTCCCCAGTGAATCTTGGGCAGAAACTAAGTGCCCCTTTGGAAAACACTTTTCAAAAATGACTATGCATTTGACAGGCATAAGGTGGTCTTTTCAACCCTCATGAGGGGTGGTCAGCCCCACAGCAGAAGGGACACCCACAAATAGGAGAAATGGATCAGTCAGTAAGGTATTTTTCATGCCAGCATGAGGACCTGAGCTCAGAGCCCCAGCAGAGCTCAGAGCCCCAGCGCTCATGCAAGATGCCAGTTACAGCAGTATGGGCCTGTCCAATGAATGTCTATGACCCAGCATGTTGAGGAGGAAAGGGCAGAGAGACCTCTGAGCTCACTGACTAGCCAGCTTAGCCAAATCAGCTTAGCTGCGTGAAAGAAATATCACAAAATAAATAAATAAACTAGAGTGGAGAGACATTCAATAAGATGGCTCAGGGGTAAAAGTACCTGTGGCTGAGCCACAGTTTGATTCTCTGGACCCACATGGTAGAGGCAGAGAACTGATTCCAGCACGTTGTCCTCTGATCTTCTCTGCATGCATGCTTTAGCACATGCACACAATGCATGCAAACAAACAAATGCAAAAAAAAAATCCTCTTTAAAAGTGGAGGATTGCCGGGCGGTGGTGGCGCACGCCTTTAATCTCAGCACTCGGGAGGCAGAGGCAGGCGGATCTCTGTGAGTTCGAGGCTAGCCTGGGCTACAGCGCGAGATCCAGGAAAGGCGCAAAGCTACACAGAGAAACCCTGTCTCGAAAAACCAAAAAAAAAAAAAAAAAAAAAAAAGTGGAGGATTATAGAAGATGCCCATGTCAACCTCTGGCCTCTACATGCACATGCATGCACAGCATACACATACACATAATTAGATAATAAAATGGTGTCTGAGACTGGAGAGATGGCTCAGTGGTTACAAACATGTCTTGCCTCAGAAGACCCAGGTTCGATTCCCAGCATCCACATGAAATAAAAGTAAATAAATCTTTAACAAAATGAACGAATGAATAAATAAATAAATAAAATGCTGTCTGATGGTATAAGCTATGTTTCAAAACCCACCTGTGTCACCAACCACTGGTAAATGTGGCTTTCTCATCTCTAGGCCTCAGTTTCCTTAGCTACAAGTCAGGATCAAGCCCACCATCCTCTTAAGCAAGAAAAGGGGAATCTTTAGCAGTGTTTTAGGCTCTCTTGAATTGGGAGATCCCTCCAAGGCTCTCATTGACTTAGAGGCTTAGGGCTCCCTCCACAGTTCTCCCTCTAAGGCTGTCATTCTGTTGAAGACTCCCCCACACACAAGGCTCTCATTGAGTTGGGGGCTCCCTCCAAGGCTCTCATTGAATCTTGGGACTCCTTCCAAGGTTCTCATTGACTTGGAGCCTCCCTCCAAGGCTCTCAATGAGTTGGGGTCTGCCTATAAGGCTCTCCTTAAGTAGGGGACTCCCAATAAGGCTCTTATTGAGTTGGGGACTCCATCCAAGGCTGTCATGAGTTGGGGGCTCCCACTAAGGCTCTCAGTGAGTTGGGAGCTCCCTTCAAGGCTCTCATTGAATTGGGGACTCCCTATAAGGGTCTCACTGAGTTGGGGGCTCAATCTAAGGCTCTCATTGAGTTATGGGCTCCCTCTAAGGCTCTCATTGAGTTAGGAGGCTCCATCTAAGGCTATCATTGACTTAGGGCCTGCCTCTAAGGCTGTCAAAGAGCTAGGGGCTCCCTTTAAGGCTCTCATTATGTTAGGGAACTCCTTCTGAGGCTATCATTGAGTTGGGGGGCTCTCTTCAAGGCTCTCATTGAGTTGGGGGGCTTCCTCTAAGGCTCTTGCTGTGTTCAGGACTCCCACAAAGGATCTCATTGAGTGGGGTTCTCCCTACAAGTTCTCTTTGAGTTGGGGACTCCCTGCAGGGCTTTCATTGAGTTGGGAGCTCAATCCAAGACTCTCATTGAGTTGGGGCTCAATCCATGGCTCTCATGGAGTTAGGGGATCACTTTAAGGCTCTCATTGAGTAGGAGGCTCTGTCTAAGGCTTTCTTTGAGTTGAGGGCTCAATCCATGGCTCTCATGGAATTAGGGGATCCCTATAAGGCTCTAATTGAATTGGTGACTCCCTACAACGTTCTCATTGAGTTGAAGGCTCCCTCCAAGGCTCTCACGGTGTTAGGGGTTCCATCTTAGGCTCTTATTGAGTTTGGGGCTCCCTCTAAGGCTCTCATTGGGCTAGGGGGCCCTGTCTAAGGATATCATGAGTTGGGGGCTCCCGCTAAGTTTATCATTGAGTTGGGGGCTCCCTCCAAGTCTTTCATTAAGTTTGCAGCTCCCTCTAAGGCTTTCATTCATCTGGGTGCTCCTTCCAAGTCTCTCACTGTGTTAGGGGCTCCCTCTTAGGCCCTTATTGAGTTTGGGCTCCCTCTAAGGCTCTCATTGAGTTGGGGGCTCTCTCCAAGGCTCTCATTAAGTTGGGGGCTCCTTCTAAGGCACTTATTCTGTTAAGAGCTTCCACAAAGGATCTCATTGAGTTGGGTTCTCCATACAAGCTCTCTTTGAGTTGGGGACTCCCTGAAGGGCTTTCATTGACTTGGGGGCTCCCTTAAAGGCTCTCATTGAGTTGGGGACTCAATCCAAGACTCTCATTGAGTTGGAGCTCAATCCATGGCTCTCCTGGAATTAGGGGATCACTATAAGGCTCTAATTGAATTGGGTGACTCTCTCCAAGGTTCTCATTGAGTTAGGGGTTTAATCCAAGGCTCTCAATGAATTGGGGGCTCAGTCCAAGGCTCTCATGGAGTTAGAGGATTCCCTCTAAGGTTCTCATTGAGTTGGTGCTCTCTCTAAGGCTTGCATTGAGTTTGGGGCTCTCATGGAGTTAGGGGATCCCTTTAAGGGTCTCATTGAGTTGGAGGCTCCAACTAAGGCTTTCATTAAGTTGAGGGCTCAATCCATGGCTCTCATGGAGTTAAGGGATCTCTCTAAAATTCTAATTGAACTGGGGACTCCCTACAAAGTTCTCATTGAGTTCAGGGCTCCCTCCAAGGCTCTCAATGACTTGGGGGCTCCCCGTAAAGCTCTCATTAATAAGGCTACCATTGAGTTGGGGGCTCCCTCCAAGGCTTTCATTAAGTTTGCAGCTCCCTCTAAGTCTTTCATTCAGTTGGGTGCTCACTCCAGGTCTCTCACTGTGTTAGGGGCTCCCTCTCAGGCTCTTGTTGAGTTTGGGGCTCCCTCTAAGGCTCTCATTAGGTTAGGGGGCCCCATCTAAGGCTATCATTGACTTAGGGGCTGCCTCTAACGCTCTCATTGAGGTAGGGGCTCCCCCTAAGGCTCTTGCTGTGCTTAGGACTCCCACAAGAGGATCTCATTGAATTGGGGTCTCCCCATAAGCTCTCTTTGAGTTGGGGGCTCCCTGCACAGCTTTCATTGAATTGGGAGCTCCCTCCAAGGCTCTCACTGAGTTGTGAGCTCCCACCAAGACTCTCATTGAGCTGGAGGCTTCATACAGGCTTTCATTGAGTTGGGAGCTCCCTCCACAGCTCTCATTAAGTTAGGGGCCCCCTCCAAGGCTTTCATTGAGTTAGGAATCCCTCCAAGGATTTCACTGAGCTAGGAGCTCCCTGAAAGGCTCTCATTCAGTTGGGAACTCTCTCTAAGGCTCTCATTGAGTTGAAGGTGACCTCCAAGGTTCTTATTGAGTTAGGGGCTCCATCCATGACTCTCATTGAGATAGGGGCTCCCTCTAAGGCTCTCATTGATTTGGAGACTCCCTCCAAGGGTCTCATTGAGTTTGGAGCTCCATCAAGGGTCTCATTGAGGGCTCCCTCAAGGCTCTCATTGAGTTTGTGGTTCCCTCTAAGACTCTCTTTGAGTTAGGGGACCCCCTCTAAGGCTATAATTGACTTAAAGGCTCCTTCTAAGGCTATTGTTGAGTTAGGGGCTCTAACCATGGCTCTCATTGAGTTGAGGTTTCCCTACAGGCTCTCTTTGAGTTAGAAACTCCCTCTAAGGCCCTCATTGAGTTGGAGGCTCCCTCCAAGGCTCTCATTGGGTTGTGGGCTCCCTCCAAGGCTCTCATTGGGTTGGGGGCCCCCAAGGCTTTCATTGAGTTAGGCTTTCCTCTACAGCTCTCATTGAGTTGGGGGACTT